GAGTAAGAGAACCTGAAATTGAATTATGGGAAGAAAATAACTGAAAGACCAAGAATCAAATGAACAAACAAAAACTGAGGGAAATTAACAATTTAGAAACTGATATGTAAGAGGGAACTACAAAGAGTTTATGGAGAATTACAAACTACAAATTCATTTTGGTGCAGAAAGATAGAAATCCACGCATAGTTTCTTCATGATACACATTTTCCATGAACTTTTTTGAGCCTCCTACTATGTGAAATATTGTTTTCATTAAGAAAATCACTTTCTGAAGAAAAGTATCTAAATAGCCCCAGAGAGCCTCAACATCTTCCCCATGCTCTGGTGGCAAAGACTCATGCCTTCATAATGAGCTCTCTTTCATTTCAGTCTACGGTTTATGAGTTACTGAAATACCCTATCTGTAAATGTCCTGACACCTAGCATGGAGTTGTGTGTGGACCCAGTTAGTTGCCATTTGGAATAACATCTTATTTCAGGGCAGAACACATGTCAGAGGGATCTCCAATGGAATTACTTGCCACCCTGAGAATGAACCTGGAACATTAAGACAGAGTGATTCACTTGGCAAATAAAAATGTTACCACCCTCTCTGACATCTGCTGCTCTAATTCTACCTACAGCAAAACTTACACTTCATTATCAAGTTTAGAGAGTCCTACTATTGTTATTACTTTTCTAATTATCTATACAAAACACTCCAAACCATAGCATATTCTTTCCTTTTGAAATTTCTTTTTATGCAATTGAAACTGGTTTTACTAAGTTTTCTGACGAAGAAGCATATAATTATTTAAAAGATATTATACCAAGAACTGAAACAAACAGAAATCAAATAATTATACAGCTTAATAGGCTAATTGTATTTATTTCTGAGACTGATTCTTTCTTTCTGTATGTTTTACTGTGTTTTCTAAATTTTCAAAAATATAGATGTCTAAATTTCATTATTGAAAATGCGAACATTACTATTACTTTAAAAGGCTGGGATAAAGCAAAAGATAATGCCAGTGCTTTTTAAATAATAAGAAAATGGGGCCAGCAGATGGTGTGGTAATTAAGGCTCTGGATTCTTACATGGCCACAGTTCGAGTCTCAGACTTGGAGGCTTGAAAATTACACCATACACAGGTATATGTGCCCAAAATCCTGAGAGGAGAATGAAGGTGAGGGGACTGCGACATAGGTATCCCCCTAGGGGGTGATTTCTTACTTTAAGCCCCTCTGTGTCTTCCTTTCTCCAGTGAGTGTGAGCACCTTATGGTAAAAATCTGTGTAACTAATTAAATATGGAAGATAATGTACACCTCAGAAATGGCAAATGATTCCAGAAATCGAGTGAGTTTGTAAGTACCTTCAGGTGCCACGTAACCACACATCACCTAGAGAGGTCTTTCTCGCGCAGCACAATGAACTTCCTTTCTCAAACACTGCACAGAATCTTTAACTGAATTCAGTTTCAGAAACGAAAAGTATCACTGGCATTAAGTGAGACCATCCAACAAACGACTTTATGATGCTTAGTGCCAACTGCAAAAAAATAAAAGTTATCATTCTGTTTTTCCACAGCTGATATTTTTAAACCATGACTGATTTCTGAAATATACACCTGTTATCTCAACTTCTCTTGCTGGGTCAAGCCTTTCCAAACAGGAATCTGAGGGCTGGGTTATTTTTAAAGGTTCATAACTGGCTCCTACACCCTCTCAAACTGTCTGAGCCTGATCCCAGCAAATTTCCTAGGGTCGTTCCTGTCCTCTTTCTTGGGTGGTGTGTGTCTGAAATGCGAAGGTGCAGGTATACCCACACTGACAGAGATGCGTACTAGTAGCCGGTCACTGTGACAATCATCATGGATTACTAGATTTAATCCTCACAACAGCTGAGAGGAGTAGAAATTACCACATCAACTTTAAAGCTGAGAGAATAAGGCTTTGTACTGGCTCAGGGTCACTCAGTAAAGCAAGCCCATCCCACTCCTTTCCATCATTTATTTAGTGTCTATGATGTACTACACACTGTTCTACAATAGAAAAACACGGCCCACATACCTAGTGTCACCAGAGGCTTAGATATACTTAAAAACTTACATATTGCTTATCTGAAACTCAAAACTGACTGGGTATTCCTGAGTTGGATTTGCTAAGTCTGGCAATTTTATCTGCGACTGTGCTGGGCTGACTCAGTGGCTAGTCTGATCCCTCTAGCGTGGCTGGGCTAGGACCATATGGAGATCAAATGAACGAGGACCTCCAGGAATCCCAGGATGGAGATCTCTAGGGACATTGTAATAGGGATCTGAAGGGTCTCTGGGATAGAGATTTCTAGGGCCACTGTAATGGATGCCCCTAGTGATTCTGTGTAGAGGCTTCTGAAGATGCTCAAATGAAAACCTTCGGGGATACTGGGATAGAGAAGTCCAAGGATTAAGTACAATTCCCCGCTGTTGTCTCCAGCCAAGAAAGGTATAAGATATCTCTTCACAATCATCAGTTTTCTCTATGGCTTCTTCCATCTGGCAGGAAACTCTTGTGTCACTGACCAAATGCCATCCACTTACACAGTGTGAGGTACGGGCCAGGTCACACAGCACCAAGGACTTTCAGAAACAATGACGAAGCTTCTGAGTCAAGTTCACAAGAAAACCTGCTTCAAAGTTCTTCAGAGAGGAATGAGGACACGGCCTCAGCGACTGCTTAGGATCACATCTGCACTTGATCCCCAACGAAGGAGTATCTTTCCCTTTTGGTTTGGGGTGAAAGCTCATTTTCCCCCAAGAGTAAGATTTTAGGTAAAGAGCCTGGCTTGCCCTCCTGTCTATGCTGAAATGTTAGTAACTGGAATAAGGGTGCTACCATCCCAATCTCTGTCCCCTGGTTGTCCCCTCAGATGCAAAGCACACCTATGTAGCTCAAATTCTAGAAATTAACATGTTGAATCAGCAGATTATCTCTGAGCTTCAACAAAGAGGGGCTTCAGACTGTGCTGTATTCTAAAGAAATAAAGACAGGCACATCCCCTACCATCTGCTAAGTCACCATCTGATAAGAGGTGACACCTGTCAAGACATAATGCATTACCCTGCAGTAATGAAAGCGGTGCCAGGTGTATCTACAGGACCACACGAGGCAGTATGTGTGGCAGCCTCAGACCACAGATGTCCCCAGTTCTTGCTTCAAGCAAGAGTTTACCAAGCAGCAAAGTGAGGGTATGAGTGGGTGGATAATCATTATTTCAGAAAAAAAGAAAAAGAGGTTGCCTAATCCCAGAGGTGAGGAAGAGCACATTTCATAGTTGTAGGCAACATAAATAACACTATGTACTTGGACTACTGAGAATGAAAGGTGAGCCTATGAGGAAGGTGGAACCACCAGGCGGAGGGGCTGGTGAGCCACACTAAAAGCTAGCATTTGTCCCAGGGCAGCCATGCAGTGGGCATGTTAGAAAGATAATGCTGACCATGTTATGCAGAAGGATGCAGGAGAACAACTGGAGACCAGGAGACCAGCTTTAAAGCTCTGGAACATACCATCCAGTTTCTGCCTGATGGGAGTCAGCACCAGAATCCCCAAGTATTCCCTAGGGGCTTCAGTAGGAAAAAGGCCACTGAGGAACCCATCCAAGCCACATTCACTGTCCCCTCATGATCACCAGAGGAGGCATAGTGACCTTCATCTGTCAAGTTGAAGACCCGGCCATGTGTCTTAATGTCTTTACATGCTATGGGGTGCAGAAGGCCTCCCTCCAGTCTAAGAGCTAAAAAGAAAGAAGATCCTAGAAACTGTTCAATGCTTCTAGCATCATAAACTAGACTCAGCTTTACTTGGGTCTACGTGGAAACTACCCCGCTGCAGCTATGAAAGGTGTGTTTTATAATCTAGTAAATTTGACTAGAAAAGATATGAGCTCTGACGGCCAGATGTGCCTTCTTTCAATGCCAGAAGAATCCAGATCTACAAACAGCCTCCCTCCTAAGAGATGGATATACATCGTCCTTAAAATACACTGGCCGGGCCCCCGGACCCATGGTGCCGTGGTGGGGCACCACCGTCCAGTATTGAGCCACATGAGAGAACTGACTTTGGATCCTAGACTGGCCTAAACACACCAGGTAGAGCTGCACGTCTGTGACTCTAGCTGATGGGGAGGCTGAGGCAAAGATCATGACCTGCTGAGACCCTGTCAGGGCTACCTCTCTCTCTCTCTCTCTCTCTCTCTCTCTCTCTCTCTCTTCCCACTCTACTCCCCAGACACACAAATAAATAAATAGATGTAAAAAGAAACACACACTGACAGGACAGGTCATCTGAATGCAGGGACCGCACGGGTTTTCTTAGTGATAGTGAGCGGGAGGGCAACGACTCGGAATCGTCCTGCCTGCGTCCCAGCAGCCTCATTGTCCAGTCACCTGGAGTCAACCTGGGCATAGGAATGGGGACGTTCTTGACAGGCTGTGATGATAACAGGAAGTTCCTTGACATCTCAGTTTGCTGATAAACGGCCTCATCAAGGCTGAAAGAGAGGTGATGGAAGGCCTTGGATGACCTAGAGGCCTCTTACACCCTACAGACAAATACAGTGAGAAGCTAAGACCGGGCTTTCTGGAGTCCAACTTCCAAGGTTTGAAACTCTGGCCCAGCTTTTGTTTAGCATCTGCCCCGGGGACAGCACACTAATCCCCTTTCAGCCTCAGTTTCCTCATCTTTCAAACAGGGAGGAGATAGTACCTACCTCTCAGGTTGGTTAGGAGGACTGAGTGACCTAATCTGTAGGAATGCAATTTCTGGCATAGCTGAGGACCCTGTCAATGCTGGCTCTGAGATGCAGCAGTCATCCTGTGAGTCGTAGAATGCTTTATGACACCAGATTGTATTTCATTCTTAAAATAAATAACATTATTCAATGCTCTTCTACTTCAGCACAGAAGCTCACACGTAACTGCACAGATGCAATATGAAATCCGAAAATGTCTGCAGTGGCAAAAAATAATCTCTCACCTTGCTCCTACAACAAGTTCTTTCTGTCCTGGATCAAATGTTAACTGCGAGAAATCCACAGCATTCTTCGCTCTGAACTCCCGTAACCAGGGGCCAATTTCTAAATAGGAAAAAATAAATAAATAAATAAAAAGATAAAAATGAATGATTTTTCTCCTGGGGATCATACAGCGGGCACATCAGGTGGCAAATGTTACATGTCAGAAGGGGGTTTTGGGGGTCCCCTGAGGGGACTGCGGGGCCCCTCGAAGCTTTCATCAGGATGTCAGAGACTCCACACCGAAAACACGTCAGACTTGGAGGGCAGCTACCCAGCGAAGAGCCCGCGAGCAGCAATGCTTGATTGTGATTTACAAGCCAGATGTGCCTGTTCCTTCTGGCTCTGGACTGGACAGAAAATGACAGTATCCGGGTGATTCATCAGAGGAACACTGAAGGCATACAAGACCATTTCCTCTGCAGCTTGATGAGAAAGAGCTGAGGGTTGGAAAATCACAAAAGCTCACCTTAGGCCAAGGACAGCACGCCAGCCCCATTGGCCTTCTTTGAAATTAGACATTCCACTTTCCTGCCCTTTGGGTTTCTATTTTGGCCCCATAATTAAACTCATTAGACCCATTCGGTCCTTTCTAGATGAGAAATCCACAGTTACTTCTAGGACTTATTTGCATCTTTTTTTCTAAGGGAAATCAGGAAATAGCCACTCTACAGAGACAGGTTTTTACAAGCTCTGTTAACTCCTTTTAGATGGCCTTCCAGTCCTGAGGCTTATTATCATAAAATGACAGTGTTTGAACAGGGATAAAATGCCGCTCTGTGGGCCATTTTTGCAACTTTCATTAGCTCATTTCTGGCACCAAAATATACACAGCAAGTTGCCTTACTGTTATCCTCAACGATTAGCCATATTAATCTGATTGTCTTTTTTTCCCCTTGCATTTACTATTTTGAATGAAGTCACTCTGTCCAAATAGGCACATGACAGCTGTCAAATCAATGAAGTCATGGTTTGAGGAAAAAGTGTGTGGCACAGGGAATAATCTTCAACAAATGCTCATGCTAAAATCACCTACTATGGAGATATCCCCATGTTCTCTAACATGTCTTATGGAAATAGCTCTGTCCAAGTGAATGAGATGGATTCTTCTTAAGGAGTAGTTTTTTTATAATATTGAATAAATGTGTCATTTTTCTAGTATCAGATTTTAGTGAAAAAAATAACATCAACTGGAAATTATTGTCTGCTTAAAGAAAACCAGGACTTTATCTTGATTTAATCATTGCACATTGTATTCATGTACAAAAACACATTGTAAAAATTCTTATGTTAATAAAAGTATTAATTATTAAAAAAATCTGGGCTGAGCTCTATAGAAGAAATTTGTATTTGGTTTTGAAATTCTAATTGTTATAATATCTTGATTTTCTCTGTATTTTACATAAATGTCTTTTTTATAGGCATGTCAATTAAAACAAAGCACTTGCTTATAGCACCGTATGTACAAGGCACTTCAGCTATGAAAATTTATTCATAAACAGTCATTTAAGGAGTTTATAGTTCAGTTAGGGAAACAGCACTAATAGCTTTAACACGGTACCTATAAGTACAAGGCATTCACAGGTGAGTGGAGGGTCATAGGAATTATTCAGACATAGACAGGAGAGGTAATTGAGAACTTAGATAAAACAAAAGGAAGTCTTGACCAGGGCCTTACAGGGCAGGTGGATTGGACCAGAGAATATAGAATACATTGCCTAGAGGGGCCAGAAAAGGGAGCAACATGAGAGAACACAGTGCCCCTCTGGACATCAATGGTATAGCTAACTCTTCTTTACTCCAACAATTCCTCCCTCCTGAAAAAGACAGGACTGGAAGGCTGATAGTTCTATGTTGTTGGCTGCAGTGGCTGCAGTCCAGAGCTCGGCGCCTTGAATGCGACAGGCAATGAGACATGTGGGAAGTAGAAGAAATGAATCTGTAAGTAAATTCAAGAGAAGGCAAATTCAAAATGAAAGAAGAAATAAAGGAAAGAGAAAACAAGGAAAAAAAGTAATAGCAACTGAAGAAACTACCAGGAAAGGATACCGAGAGGTGCATTTAACCATAAACTGTAGAGAAATTCACAAACGGATTGTATTGCTTGGACATAGCATCCTATGTAATAGCAAAACACTGAAAAGTTTTAAGCAAGCACTTGACCCACAGAAGCAACTATCTCAGGAATACAAATGGGACCCTCATAGGTAGTATGGTTGAAAAGAGGAAAGAATGAAGGCAAGAATATCAGATTTTAAAAATACTAAAAACCACAGGATTTAGGTGGTAGCTATGAAATTGGAAAATGAACACGGGTAAGTAGGGTCTGATAGACTGGATCTCCAGTTAGAAATGAGGTCAAGAGAAACAAGTTAAAGAGAACAGCCTAGTGTTCAGATTAAGTGCCAAGGAGGGCGTTGATGACTGCAGTGTAGAAGTCAGAAGGCAAGGCTGGTTTCAGAGAAAGATAATGGAATCAGGTAAACCATGAGAATGTTACTCATGCAAAATTCCCACAGCATATTGGCCCCGAAACACTGTGCAGCATCACTGAGACCTAGAAACATCCACAGAGATATGCTTGGCTTGCCATGGGGCACAGCAATCGTGCAACACTGTGGTACTGAAGCCACATGAGCAGGTCCAGGATTTGTGTCTGGAGGCCTCCCGGTGCTTGCCCCAGTTCTGGGCTGGCTGAGCCTGAGGTAGACTGTAGTATAAGGACCTAGTCGGGGGATCAGCAGGTAGTGTGGTCCTTAGGGCACCAGATTCCACATGTTCAAGTTCTCAGTTCAAGTCCCAAACCCAGTAGCCTGAAAAACACACTGCACGTGTGTGTGTGTATGTGTGTGTGTGTATGTGTGTGTGTGTCCCTGTGTGCACACAGGCACATGTGCGCTTGCCTGGCATCTGAGAAGAGAATGGAGGAGAGGGGATTGTGGCATGGCCATCTCCCCAAGGAGTGATTTCTCACTTCACTTCACTTCCTCTCTTTCTTCCTCTCTGTCTCTCTCGAACAAGTGTACATGCCCTGCAGAAAAAAAAAAAAAAAAAAAAAAAAAAAACCTAGATGGAAGTGACTCCCATCTGCCTTTTTCTCACAGGATAACTAAATAAATGAAAATCTATCTAAATCTATCTATATCTATAGATATATTAGGTTGCTGGAAAAGTCATGACATAATTTTCTATGTTTTTCTATGCCAAAATTCATCACGACTTTCCCAACACACACACATATATACACACACACACATTTGTTAACAGAATATGTATATTCTAGATCAAGAGCTCCCGAATTAAATGGGAAATCCATGATCAGGAAGCCCTGCTAGGACTAAAGTCTGAGAACCCGAGCACCCATCTGCAGACGCCTCTGTTCCCCACAACTCAGTCCCTGGAGCTAGGCTCACACCTAGTCCTCACAATGTATGAGGGAAGAACAGAGACCAAGAGCTGACTCCCTTGCCAGGAGAGTAGAAAGATGAACCATGTGAAGGGGAACAAAACTATCATAAGATATCAGAAGAAAACTGGCTCACGCATTCACCCTGAATTCATCTTTCTTTGCAGTTTTGGAAGAGAGGGGTCAATAGGGACCAAGAAGAAGAGACATATTTCAGGCTTTGGTTCCTGCACTGAACACACTGACACAGAAAGGCAGTTATACCTCTTCCTCAAATATCAAGTAATAAAAGGAGTCACGTACAGAGGGGAAAATGAGTTAACATCATATAGCTCTGTCAATATTATTTGATTTTCCTAATTTAAAATTCTAATGAACTTACCCAATAAAACTGTATATTTTTATGGTTAATGCTAGGTAGAAATTGTGTAATCTGCATTTTCTGTTCTTTTTTTTTCCTAGTGCATAACTCCAGAGGCCTGCCTATCTCAACGTCGCATATTGCATGCCCTTCCATCTTAAGGGGTACCATGAAGGCCTTGATAGAAAGCATCTGCACCAGCTCAGCTTTCTAACTGAAAATAAGCCCATGTCAACAGCCGTCCCCTCACTGTCCCCGCAAATCAGAGTAATGGTGCTCTGTCCTTTTGTTTGAAGATCGGTCCTTCCAACTTTGCTTCAGTCTCAGCTCTTCTCTCCTCTTCAATCCTCTCCCTAAATGACCTCCCTTTTCTTCTAATTATCTCTAATGTTACCAAGTCATTTCCCTTTTGCCAGTAAGTATACACATATTGGCCTCATTTTTGAAAACATTTTAAAGTACATTTTCATTTCAAACACCCAAACAAAATTCATGATAAATTCACAAATACGGTATGTCAAAAGAGATTACAGGCTTTGTTGTCCATGTAAGTTTTACCAAATTCTTAGAATCATATCATTTCAACTTCACATAATTTATTAACATTTCAGACATACGGGTAAACCTACTAACTCAGTTTGAGGCTATTATGTTCCAGATAATCTTGATACTAAGTCTACATGAGGACAGTATGAGAAAAGAAGCTCACAGGCAACCTCTTCAGAGATGGTAGCTGAAAACATTCCTAAAGAAGTGCAGACAGACCCAGCCACCATGGGGCAGTGGCAATGCAATGCCTTTCACTGCTGATATGTTAGATACTTTTACATGTTAGCTATTTCTAGACCTCTCTAGAAGGAATTATTTCCCTAAAGTCTCAGTTGGAAATCAATTATCCAAGGAATGGATAAAGCACACAAATCCTTAACACCTAGTGATATACCAGCATGGATTAATTTAGCACTTAGAAATATATCGGCCTGGACTACTTCATCAGAAATGGTAGTTGCTACCCGCTGAAGGACAGCATGCCCGAAGGAAGGGGACATGATAATTCCCACATGAAGAGCAGGAAAGCCCCACCCACTTCTCCCCAAGCAGGGCACACTTGGAAGGAGGAGAGTCCTCAGAGAAAACAGAAAGTACTTGGAGCCCACGTAAGCTGCTGGTGGCCAAGGGAAAGTTTATCTCCTTCATAATGTTTCCAACACAAGCCTCATCAGCTCTTTCAAAGGTCTTCAGGTAAGCTAGACCTTACTCCAGCTTAGCAGAAAGCTGGAGGACAGCAGTCGATGT